TGCCTTTCTGTGCAATTGGAGCACAAGGAGCTACCTTGTCATTATTCCCACCTTGGGTTAAATGTAAACTAAATACTTCACGTACTTTATCATGGAGCCTTGGGAAGGCCCCACCAAAAATTTCATGGTCTAATAAATTATGGTGTAGAAACAAAGTTATACTTTTAGCCTTTCTCAATAGTATGGCTTCACTGTTTCCTCACCTAGCTTAAAAAATAGGAGAACATATCATACTTCCTTGTGAACATTAATACTTAGTACCAGATTAGTTACCCTTCAGAGAGGAAATCTACAAGAAACACTCCTCAAATTTTACTTTTGATACTACTATGCACAGACTTGTGTAATTGGTCCTTCTGTGTTGTTAATAGAAAACCAAGGAATCCAGTATATTCATTCATTCAGTATATCATGTAACATAACAATTACTACTATTTAACTCACATTTTTGATAGCACAACAAATAATAATATAATTGTGTTTCAGTGACTTCCTTTTCTTTTTTGGGTCCCAGTAAAATAAGAAAAAGTGTGATCTTCCAAAAACTTCAATCAATACTTGGAAAATTATTTAACAATTTTAGAAAAACATTATTTTTTTATTTATTACTTAAAGTTTTTCATTTAGTTATTATCCCAACTGCAACTTCACCTCCCTGTTCTCTTCCTGTTCCCTCCCACCACCTCCACTAAGCCCCCATTCACTCCTCCCTCTCCATTCAAAGAGGGGCAGGCCTCCCATGGGTGTCAACAAAGCATGTCACATCAAGTTGAGGCAGGACCAAGATCCTCCCCCTGCATCAAAATTGGGAGAGGCAATCTAGCATGGGGAATAGGCTCCCAAAAGCCAGCTCAAGCACCAGGGAGAGGTCCTGATCCCACTGCTAAGAGCCCCACAAACACATCAAGCTACACAGTTGTCACCCACATGCAGAGGGAGTAGGTCGGTCCCATGCAGGCTCCCTAGCTGTGGATCAACAGTCTGTGAGCTCCTAGGAGCAGTGGTCAGCTGTCTCTGTGGGTTTCCCCTTAATGATTCATTGGTTTGGGCTGGAGAGTTGGCTCAGAGGTTAAGAGCACTGGCTGCTCTTCCAGAAGTCCTGAGTTCAATTCCCAGAAACTACATGGTGGCTCACAACCATCTATAATGAGGTCCTGTGCCCTCTTCTGGCTTGTAGGTATCATGGAAGCAGAACACTGTATACATAATAGATTTAAAAAATTCATTGGTTTACTGGTAGCTGGAATATTTACTTCAATAGTCATTGTTTAAGCTTCAAAAGTTGGAATCTTAGCATTAACACAAAATGTGCAATCAGCTCAATTTACACACTAGTTAAAATGTTTCTAAAATAGAAAGAGTTCAAGAAAAGATTGTTATTGATTACACAGAATGATTGGATGAAGAAAAATAACTTATAGGCATGTAAACACTGCAAAATTTCCCCCACTTCCAGTTCTCTTCAAATATAAGTAAATATGAAGTAAAAATTGTTTTGAAACTCCCTCTTGTATAGAAAACTGTCATGCTTTGAATAATGAGCCAATGCTATAGAATGAAATAGCTATCAGAATTTGTTTTATAAGATTCAATGTATATAATGATCATTAAACTATACATAAGGAGTTCCAGGTCAGCTGGAGCTTTCTAATGAGATCCTGTCTGAAACAACAAAGCAAAATTATATTCAAATATGTGTGTGCTTGTGTGTGTGTGTGTGTGTTACTGTGTGTTATTTAGACATGTCTTATTCTCATACTCACTCTGTAGGCTAAGCAGGCGTGAATTCATGGAGATCACCTGGCTCTGCTGATGTGCTCGGATATATTCATTTCTGAGAATGATTTCACAGGGAACAAGAGCTGGCAGCTGAAATGACTTTAAGAGATGTTGTCCCAAACCTTCTGTGCTCTTTATTATTCTTTTTTTTTTTTTTTTACATTGTGTGGATGGTGGATGTGTGTGTTGAAGTTCTCTTTGTAGCTCATGCTTTAAAACTCCAGTTATCTTCCTGCCTCTGTGTCTGGAGTTCTGTATTAAAAGAGTTCACAACCACACACAGTTTGAAAAATAAGTTTTATGATGCAAGTCATCTCTTCTTATGGTTTTTGTTGTTGTGACTTAAAAAAAAAACAAATCTAATTTCAGTCATTATTTTATATGTATGGCTTTTTTTCCTGTGTGCATGTCTTTGTACTCCACTCATGCCTGGTGACTATGGATGCCAGGAGATGTTGTCAGAACCCCTGGAACTGGAGTTATAGATAGTAGTGAGCTTCCATATGTACTGGGAATGGAAGCTGAGTGCTCTGGAAGATTCTTCGGTACTCTCAACTACTAAAGTATTTTCCAATCCATATTTTCTGTTCTTGATTATGTTTCCTATACAAGGCAGCCTAGTCTGGGTCAGACACCTGATGCTGATTAAAAAGTAGGACTCTACTTCAGGTGAGTGAATTATTCTCAGGCAGGGAAGAGCTCCATAAGTACAACATGGTCAGACTTAAACCATATACATACAAATAACAAAAATGGACTGGGCAGTATATATTCATATATTTCAGTGTACTTACTCATACATACTTAACAAGGAGGAGGTAGGAAGGGAAATATATGGAAAGAAATGGAGGGAGGAGGAAAAGGGGAAATTGATGTAATATGTTCTAATAGAAAAAATTTAATAAAAAAAAAGGAGGGACTAGAGAGTTGGCTCAGCAGTTAAGAGCACTGGGTGATGTTACAGAAGATCCAGGTTCCATTCCCAGAACCTACATGGTAGTTAACCATTTGCTGTAGCTCCAAGCTCAGGCATCTCCTGTCTTCTGGTGTCTTAGGTACTGTGCACAGACACATTCAGGAAAAACAGCATATAACTAAACAAATTTTTAAAAGTTAGAAAAAGGAAAGAATGGAATTTTCTATAGTGATGTCACAGCTCTGAGACAGACAGCAGCCAGGGCTAGGTAAAATGAACTCCTCTGGACTTGCATAGAAGCAGCTGTGGCCTGCCTCTGAGCCAGCCTGCTCAGAGGCAAAAGCAGCTTTGTTCTGAGGTTAACAGAGCTCATGATAACCACTGATCTAAGAGCAGAGTATACAGTGCTGCTAGGTGACTTTTCCTTGATGTTTTCTGTACTTGTGTTCTCTGTCTTTTGTATCTGTGAGAACTGCGGCATTGGTACAGCTATCTTTTAGATCAAATATCAAGGCTGACATGTAGCATAGACTCCAAAGCAATCTACATTCATAGTGTCATTTCCTTGATTTTCCGCTAAGACCTTGTGGTACAAGTTGAACATACCAGAAGTCATTTCTTTCCATTATTTTGATAATTTATATATGTTCTGGCATGCCTTTGAGCTAAGAATGTCCCCAAATGTCCCTGCTTTTCCACTGTGATCATGTTCAGAAGTGGATTTGCTAACTGAGCATGCTTAGGAATAGGCAGAACTCTCCATGAATGTGTGCAGACTCCCTAAGTAAGTCCCCATGCTTCCTTTGTTTAGGAAAAGCACTGCTATGGAAATGAGTCCCATGCTCTCCTTCCCTCCTGTAGGTAAGAAATCTTTCTCAGTTCTCTGTCTTGGCTGTTGTGATGGCTATTTTTGGTACCTAAATTGACTATCTATGGAATGAATGAAAACCCCAATGTTGGGTACACCTGTCAGGGAATATTCTTAAAGGTTTTGAACTTAAAAGACCCATCTTAAATCTGCATCATTTGAGGTGATGAGATCCACCTTTGGCATCTTGGTAGCAGTGCACAGCTTTCACACCAGGATTCAGGAGACAGAGGAAGTCAACTTCTCTAAGTTTGAAGCCGCCCTGTTCTACAGAAATGAGTTTCAGGGCTACATAGATAAACCCTGTCTCAAAAACACCAAAGAACAAAACAAAAAAAATAAAATAAAATAAAACGAAACCAACCCCTTCAAACAAAGAATAAGATCCACCTTTAATCTGGATCACATCTTCTTGTTGCAGACTACATATGAAAGGATATTGAAGAAGGAAACTCTCTCTTTGCCTGCTTGCCCCAGCTCTGGCTACTCAGTTTATTCCTTTACTAGCATTGGAGCCTACATCTTGTTAATTTTGGTGTATACTGAAGGCCAGCTGGGACATCCAGCCTCATGGGCTGAACATCTACTGGAGTCTTTAATGTTCCATTGGTAGACAGCCATTGTTGGACTGGCTAGATCACGGCTTGGGAGACATTCGAATAAATTCATTTTTTACACACATGGAGAAATGGTTTTTACTAGTCCTGCTCATGAAGAGAACCTTGAATAATGCAGTCGTGTTTGTTTGTTTTTCACTTGCCCACTGAAGAAGATGTGCTGGCTAACAATAGTTCTCATAAAGACATTCTTCCTAGCTCCATTATTCTCTATTCAACTTACCCTGAATACTACTCTTTTTATTATTATTCATTTGTCAAGACTTTGTCCTGAATTCCGGAAGAAAACTTCGACAGCAATGGGCCACCATTCAGCCTTCTGGTGGGAGACAAATCTATCATCACGTGTTTTTATCTGGTCCCTGCATTTCTCCCCTTGTTCTCTGAAGTGCCTGTGACTAACAGGCAAAAGGACTTTCAGTTCACCTCACCTCAGTGTGAAGCCAGGGAACAAACATCTCCTTTTGTGTCCTTAAATCTCTCTTTAAAATTGTAAGTATTCTGGGCACCCTTCCACCTGTGGGACGGGAATCACTCCACTCCACATTGAGCAAATGGCTGTGCAAATTAGTCACGTTGTGTTCCGGAGGAAGAAGGGGAAGTGCCTATGGCTCCTGTAGGAGCCAGAGCAAGTGCTATTGAAATGAATATCTCTGCAGATCTGGAGAAGGTCTGGGTCTGGGGAGGGAGGCGGAGACAGCAACCATTGTGCTGTGTCTTTAAGCGCACTGTAACCCTAAGGGAGGTGCTCTTGTCACTCAGGCCTCACTAGCCAATCAGGGCCTCGGGGCTGAACTGCCAGTCAAAGCGGTGCAGTGCCCTTCCGGGAGTCGGAGGGCTTGGCTTAGCAGAGGAGCTGGCGCCAGTGTTTTCATGTGCTGTGCTGTGAGTGCTGCTGCTGAGAGCTGTGAGGGGCCATGGACGAGCTGGAAAGCCATGCCATGGTGAGCGATGAGCTCCTGTCCCCAGATGGGGAAGAGCAGATGGGAACGTGCTGGAGCAAGTGTGGAGGGTCCTCCTCAGGACTGGGTGTGAATCTGCAGCCAAATTCCCTGCTCTGTGAGTTCCCACGTGGTCCTTGCACTCCCTGAACGGTGGCACAGGCCTTGGAATAACTTTGCTCTGTGGGCTGCATCTTTGCAGAACATTGGGAACAGGGAGCTGTGTTAGTAGTCAACAATACCATGCTTTTGGCACATCCATGGAAGGCAGGCTTCCAAACTTAGAGAGGCCTACTTTTCCAGTATCTTCTAGATGTTCAGCACTTTGCATTTAACCTTTACCTGTAAGATCATTTACAGTTAATTTTGTGGAGGTTGTGTTGGGTAGCACTCCTCTACTTCGCTGTGAGGGACAGTAGAGTAGAATTGGTGATATGAAGGATTTACCAATGCTTAGTAGGTAGTAAGTCTAAAAAGTAGAATTTAGCTAAGGGAGGACTGCCTCTAAAACACTCCAAATATAAGTCTATGCTAACCAGGCCTGGTAGAGATAACATGCCATAATACACATTTTTTTCCACGAGGATTGTCTAGACATTTGGCTCCAAACCATCACAAAGCAGACAACCCTGACTGACAACCAGCCACTAGATCCATGTCTGTGGATCAAAGAACAGGCCTCTAACAAGCTGCTCAAGGAGACATTACAGGGTCACAACCTCCCTTAAGGCCTGGTGGGCCTTCAAGTTCCACTTTTCTTGAGAAAAGCATAGTTCTGAGAGATGACACCAGGTGACAACTATTGGAAAAGTAAAACACTGTTGTGTTAAGGACTGGCCTGGTCAAGCAAGGCTTTCATTTAGGCCCTCAGGCAGGGAGAAAGAACATTCTTTGGAGAGGGAATAACAGCCTGGGGCCTAGTCCAATGGAGCTTGGCCTAAGGCCTTGATGTATTGAGAATAAAACCGAGCTCCTTCTCTAAAACCAGGAATATAGAGCTGGTAGTGGTCCGGGGCCAGGGCCTTTGTGGAGGGGTTACTCCAGATCCTGAGAACCCAACTCTTCCCACCACATGGAGCTGTGGTTGTCAGTCCCAGGGTCACTGTAGGCTGAGTCAGTAATGTCCTTAAGATACTGTGTCCCCTTGTGCAGTATTATTTGATTAGACTCCTCCTGAATTTGTCCCCTTGTATGACAGTTTCTGCTGACTTCATAGAAGTTCCCCATTTCCTTCCATTTCCCCCTGGAAGTATATACATGATGCTATTGTTCTTAAGTAGCTTACTTGGCATGAGACACAGCTTGTGCAAACCTCCCCACCCCAGCTTTTATCTTTTCTACCTTCTACTTTTCCTGTCTTTCTCATTCCCTGGCACTTTCCCCTCAGGACCCTGTCACTGAAGAATGACCTGCTGTATCAGGTCACTGGTGTACTTCAGAAGTAATTCTGATAATATCTTTGCTGTGTAAGTCTTCCATCTGCCTAAGTGTTCAGACTTGCAGTCTCCCATCCCTATATATGTTGTTCAAAGTGTAGCCTGGGGCATGACCCTAAAAGAACCTTAAGGATGACAGCATAAGTGGAATGCAGAGTCTGTCCAGGCTGACTCCTCTGTGAGCATTAGACAGAGATAGAAGCATGCTGTCATTAAAGAAACTTTTCTTTATTAATCTCCTAAGTGTGTGGAGTGATTTCTTCCTGGGAAGACATAGTATTTCCAGAGCAGCTGCATTTCCAGCCTTTAGCAAAATGTTTCCGAGACAAGCTGTTTTCTATTGACTCAGGGGGCCTTGATTTCAGACTGTTGCACTCCAGGGCAATGATCTTGTTGTCCTATATTATACCTCCAAAATTCTTAAATTAAATGACTACCACCTCAGAATTTTAAAGTTCTCCATTTGAGTCATGTAGTGGACTGTCTATTGCAGTTATAGGAAAAGGATTTGCATGTGGAGCATGGCTTCTGCCTTCAGACCAGATTAGGAGGAATAGTTTATTGTGTACACTGCAGGGGGAAATAGGGTAGGCAGTCAGCTGCTTGAGTCACCATTACAAAAAAGGTCCTGAATGTGGCAGGAGGAGTTAATTCATAATTTCCCAGCATGTATTAATTCATGTCATGTGAATGAAGATAGACCAGATTGGTGGGTGTACAATTTGAGAAAGTAACCTTGAGGTAGTGAATATTGAATTTGCATTAGGAGACTCTCCTGTGCAGATATGTTCAGTCCTGATTCACACAAATAAGTCAGCTTAGAGACTTGAGAAATAGACCATTGTCTGTAACTCTGTGTGTCAGGTTGCAGATCTCAGTAGCTAACATGTACTTGCAGGCAAGATCAATCAGTCTCTTATTAATGGTCTTCCCTCTATTAAGTAAGGACCTACTCTATTTCAGAGTCAATATAGCTATGTCATTTAATCTTGAAAATACATTGTTTTTATCATTTTAAAACGACCTTATAGGTATCATTCTTTAACATTTTCTTAATTATGTGCATTATTCCTCTTATCTCTATTTGTTTCTGTTCCCCAATGTTTCTTGATCATTAAGAATGTCATTCCTTTTTTCCCAAGTGCTACTGATTTATTTACTTCTGTTTAGAACAATATTGTCCTGTAGCCCAGGCTTGCCTGGAGCTGAGTTGAGAATTACTCTGAATACCTAATCCTGCCTCTGCTGTCCCATGCTGGGAAGGCAGTCCTGCAACTTCTTCCAGGCTGGGCCTTGACTGGTCAGTGAGAAGGATAAGAGACCAGGGAATGAGTGTCCTCCAGTCTCTCTGACTTACTGGGGAGTTACAAATGAAGAAGGACCTGTGCAAGAGTTGAGTTCCCTGACCAACTCTGAGGCTGATGTAGTCACAGCACAGAGAAGGAATGCAGGAAGGAGGGTGAGAGCTTTCCTGCTTTGGCAGTAGTTGATTTTAGCGGTATGGAGTCAGGTAATCAAACAGGCCATTTCTTGAGGTTCACAGAGACCAGTCAAGAATCTGGACAAAGGACTGACCTTATCAGGTAATCAAATTCCTGCAGTTACACTAGTTGAACCAAAATAGAGGATCTTTGTAAAACGTTGTGGCCCTGCCTAACAGAACTGTTATTTCCCAGGTTTAAGATGTACAGGGGAATGTGGTGCTATATTGTGTCCACCAATATATTGTGAATCCTAACAAACTTCTCTGGGGTGAGAGGACAGAACAGCCACTAGACAGACACAGAGGGCAGAAAATGGTGGCACACGCGCCTTTAATCCTGTCACTTGAGTTCAAAGCCACAGTGGAAACAGCCAGGCATGGTGACTCATGCCTTTAATCCCAGGAAGTGATGGTAGAAAGCAGAAAGGTGTATAAGGTGTGAAAACCAGGAACTAGGGAGGTTAAGCTGTTAGGCTTTTTTTTTTTTTGCAATACAATTCAGTTCTACATATCAGCCACGGATTCCCTTGTTCTCCCCCCTCCTGTCCCCCTCACCTTCCCCCCAGCGCCCCCACCCCATTCCCATCTCCTCCAGGGCAAAGCCTTCCCCACAGACTGAGGTCAACCTGGTAGACTCAGTCCAGGTAGGTCCAGTCCCCTCCTCCCAGGCCGAGCCAAGCAATCCTGCATAGGCCCCAGGTTTCAAACAGCCAACTCATGCAATGAGCACAGGACCCGGTCCCACTGCCTGGATGCCTCCCAAACAGATCAAGCCGATCAACTCTCTCACCCATTCAGAGGGCCTGATCCAGTGGGGACCCCTCAGCCATTGGTTCATAGTTCATGTGTTTCCATTCATTTGGCTATTTGTTCCTGTGCTTTATCCAACCTTGGTCTCAACAATTCTCGCTCATATAAACCCTCCTCATTCTCGCTAATTGGACTCCCAGAGATCCACCCAGGGCCTAGTCATGGATCTCTGCATCCAGATCCCTCAGTAGTTGGATGAGGTTTCTAGCACAACAATTAGGGTGTTTGGCCATCCCATCACTAGAGTAGGTCAGTTCGGGCTGTCTCTCGACCATTGCCAACAGTCTGTTGTGTGGGTATCTTTGTGGATTTCTGTGGGCCTCTCTAGCACTTTGCTTCTTCCTATTCTCATGTGGTCTTCATTTCCCATGGTCTCCTATTCCTTGTTCTCCCTCTCTGTTGTTGATCCAGCTGGGATCTCCCGCTCCCCCAAGCTCTCTTTCCCTCGACCCTTGCCTTTCACTACCCCCACTCATGTCCAGGCTGTTCATGTAGATCTCATTCCATTTCTCTGTCATTGGGCGATCCCCATGTCTTTCTTGGGGTCCTGTTTTCCAGGTAGCCTCCCTGGTGATGTGAGTAGCAGACAAGTCAGCCTTGTTCCACATCTAGTATCCTGCTATGAGTGAGTACATACCATGTTTGTCTTTCTGAGTCTGGGTTACCTCACTCAAGAAATTAGACATCAAAATGCCCAACAGTCCAATTAAGAAATGGGCTATAGAACTAAACAGAGAATTCTCAACAGAGGAAACTCAAATGGCCGAAAGACATTTAAGGAATTGCTCAACATCCCTAATCATCAGGGAAATGCAAATCAAAACAACTCTGAGATACCACCTTACGCCGGTCAGAATGGCTAAGATCAAAAACACTGAAGACACCTTATGCTGGAGAGGATGTGGAGCTAGGGGAACTCTCCTCCACTGCTGGTGGGAATGCAAGCTTGTACAACCACTTTGGAAATCAATATGGCGCTCTCTTAGAAAATTGGGAATCCATCTCCCCCAAGATCCAGCTATACCACTCTTGGGCATATACCCAAGGAATGCTCAACCACACCATAAGAGCACTTGTTCAGCTATGTTCATATCAGCATTGTTTGTAATAGCCAGAACATGGAAACAACCTAGATGCCCTTCAACTGAAGAATGGATAAACAAAATGTGGTACATATACACAATGGAATACTACTCAGCAGAGAAAAACAATGACATCATGAGGTTTGCAGACAAATGGATGGATCTAGAAAAAGCTGTTAGGCTTTTAGAATC